AAAATATGACATATGTCTCCTTTTTCTCCCCCATGGACCTCTCCCTAGCCTCTCTCACCCGCCAGCTCATGCCCTCACCCCGCTATTGTCTGTGTCCATTGGTTATGCTTATGTGCATGCATGCAAGTCCTTTGGTTGATCTCTCACCCCACCCCACCCCCACCCCCGCCTTCCCTCTGAGGTTTGACGGTCTGTTCGATTCTTCTATGTCTCTGTTTAACTGGATATTTTGCACCATCACATGCCTAATAGTCAAATGATGCATTTGCTTCTTTATGTCTCCCTTCACACCAAAAGAGAGCTGTGTCCACCTATAACAGCGGTTCTCAACCTGTGGGTCATGACCCCTTTGGGGGTCAAACGACGCTTTAACGGGTCACCTAAGACCATCAGAAAACACGTATATAATTACATATTGTTTTTGTGATTAATCACTATGCTTTAATTATGTTCAATTTGTAACAATGAAATTGGGGGTCACCACAACATGAGGAACTGTATTAAAGGGTCGCGGCATTAGGAAGGTTGAGAACCACTGATCTATAAGAATCCATACAGAAGACAAAAAGGCGCAAGAGAAATACAGGCAGTATTTGCAGAAGTAAAACAAAGCCTGGATTGGTTATCAGCCACATCACTGACTACACATGTGGCCCCAGGACGTTGCAATGGCAGGAGCTCAGAGATGTTGCTGGGCGGGCTCTTGAGTCGGGCCCACATGGGCCATAATCTTTAGACTTTGTTACTTCTGCTGCCTTTGCATGGACGCCGGCGAGGGCATTTCAAACACAGATTAGCTCTTCCTATTGAGAAGATTCCTTTTTCTTAAGTAATCAGAGACTTGGTTAAGACACCCTAAAAACGCATAAAATTGTTTTGATAAAACACAGAATCTTTGCTTTCTAAGCAGACCACGTTGCGCAATATCTTATCAGGAGCCGACCAGTAGTGCGAGAAAACTGTGTCTTTTCAACAGAGAGACAATCAAACATTCATCTGGCATCAGCTTTTGATATTTAGATTCACTTAATTAAATTCATTCCTCTCTTATTCAACTTGATCCCACATAAAATTTCATTTCATAAGCTTTTTATGACTTTCTTTGTCCCTTCTAGTTTGTCTTGTTCTCTTGCCGGTTCAAAAATAACCAGGACAAATTACTTCATTTCCAGCTGGGATGGCAGGTCCCTGGGGTATCTAGTCTGCAGGGCGGATTCCCTGGGGAGAGCAGGTGCTGGGCAGCCTTGCCCCACCATAGCCTCCTGGCCAGGGCAGATCCCACGGCTGGCTCTCCCCTGGTGCCCTTGAGCTCTGTGCCTTTATATACCCCCCACCCCCCAAATGAATGGACATGTAAGGCAGGCAGCTGACTGGGAATCCCAAGACCTGGGTTCCAGTTCACACTCTCCATATCACTTAGTAACGTGTGGCTCTGGCCACAGCTTCCTCATGTACAAAAATGAGAATAAAGGAACAATGTAGCTCAAATACAAGTTCCAGTCATGTAAAAGGCTCTGAAAACTTCAACGCACTGTATCAATAGGCAGTGTTGTTATGACTTACTAGAGGCCCAGTGCACAAAATTCATGCACTGGCGGGGGGGGCGTGTCCCTCAGCCTGACCTGTGCCCTCTTACAGTCCGGGAGCCCTCGAGGAATGTCTGACTGACAGCTTAGGCCAGGGGTCCTTAAGTGGTTGGCCAGCTGGGGAGGGACCGTGGGAGGGCTCCAAGGCATGTCAGGCCCATCTCCTTCCGTCCCCA